TGCAATAACCGTATTCACATTAGCAATGAAGTCAACAAAGGCGTCTCCAAAACATAACATACATATCCGCGTCGAGATTCAGCCATTACGGAACTAGGGGAACTATAACGAAGAAAAGAAATGCAAAGAAAATATGCAAAATTTAACAGAGCAGCTGATCGTAGACAATACAGTTCCTTAAGAAACCGTATACACCGCCGCTTCAAATACATCAGGATTCAAAGAATTGAGAAACGCACTGAAGATGGAATTACAACAAATAAGATAGAAAGGGGACACACCAATGGATAAAGCCCGAGCAATTGCAGTGTTATAAGGTGAACAGTTTCGATCAAAATTTGGGGATGAAATTTCGATAATATTTTATCTACAGGTAAGGCTGCTTTTCTCCATTTTCAACCACAGAACCCCCAATACACCTAATCAAATTTTACGAATAATCAAACACGTGCCCAAAAGGCAGGCTCCAGGTCACGATAACATTAACAATATTGACTTAAGAAACCTTACTCTTAATGCTATCAAACACTTATCGAAAATCCAAGTTGCTGCATTTCGTTTCCACTGCTTCCAAGAAAACATGGGTGGAAGCGAATGTAATAGCCATACGAAATCCCAACAAGAATCCAGCCTTCCATAGGACAGGCGGCCAGTTAGCTTATTAGATAGCATGAGCAAACTAACGGAACCGCACTCTATATACAAATCCGTCCACTCCTGACGAACAATTTGCCTTCTTGCCAGGACCAGATATGACGCTACAACTACGAGTACTACACTTCACAGAATATATGTGAAGTAAAGCTATCCCTGTAGCAGGCCGTAGAGGCCCATAGGGTTGTGAGATTTTGAGGTTCCTACATTTTCTAGAGAATCGGCTTGTAGATGGCTGCAAGGTTGTCAGCCCTACGCGCCGGCCGCCCTTTGTCCCCATGAATATAACTTGTATTCATTTCTGTTAGAGGCTGAGTCGACCCCAGGGCCATAGTGCGGCTGGAATCATTAGGTCAACTGAAAAAATCCAATGACCTCATCGGGACTTGAACCGTGACCTTCCGGCTTGTAGCATAGTGCCTCAACCAAATACGCTACCGCTCACACAATATGTCACGGATAATTTCAATGAGTGGACATACACAGCAGTCATATTCCTTGATGNAGACCGTCTGGACAATAGGGCTCATACAAAGGCTACCAACTGCTGGAATACCCAACTGCTGGAATACCCGACTGCACACTCATTCTTCTGGATCATGCCTTACTGATCGAAAGTTTAGGGTCAAAATGGAGACAAAAATCAGAATGTAAGGCATTCCTTAGGGCTCCGTCCTGGTAACGTTATTTCATTATATATATATATACACGCACATAATGTAGTAATATCAATTACGGAGGCAACAATCTGCAGAGGTATATATATGATCGAGAATCATGGCCGTAAAAATGTAAAGCTATCCCTCTAAAATACCGTAAAGGCCTATAGGGTTGTGTGACATCGAGGCTGTAACATTTTCTCTAGACAATGGGCTCACAGTTGAAGGTGAGGTTGTCAGCCTTACGCGCCGGCCGCAATTTACACCCCAGTAAGATTCCTGGTACTTATTTCTACTAGGGTTTAGTCCACCCCAGGGCCATAGTGCGGCCGGAAGGATTAGCTAACTGAAAATATTCACCTCACCAGAATGTTGGTTATAGAAGTGGAAAATGATCATGTGTGTAGAGAAAGTATAGTAATTGGCTTAGTAAGTTTCCTTGGGGCACCCCTGAGTGGATTTGTAGGCGGTTGAATATTTCCTCATTTATTTTGATTTCGAAAGATCTTTCGTTTAAGTATGACTTGAGTAGTTTGTAATAGTTCGTTGGGAAAATTCTGTTTATTTTGTAAAGTAAATCAGAATGCCA